CATGTGCTGCCCTGGGCAGACTTGGTCTTGCACCCCTCAGCTCACATGGGCTAGGGTAGGGCAGGGCAAGGAACTTCCTTTTCCTTCCTCCTTGGTATGGGGGTGGGGCTGGCTTCCCTGTTAGGGTAAGGGCCCCTGGAATCTAGCTTTCAGAAGGGCAGGGTTGGCGCTTGGGGATTTAGCTCTCAGAAGGGTGGGGTTGGGCACCCAGGGGATCTAGTTCTAAGAAGGGTGGGATTGGGTGTCCAGGGGATTTAGCTGTCAGAAGGGCAGGGTGCAGGCTAGTCAGAGATTAACCCCCAGCCTTGAGTGCAGAGCAACTGCAGTCTTGCCCCAGGCTGACCACAGAGGAGGCTGCACCCCAGGCAGGTGGGTGCTGTCCCAGGGAGACAGGAGGGGCTATCCCCCAGGGAAAGGAGGCCTGCTCAGGGCCAGGTTGGTGGGAGGGTGAATTGGGACAGTCAAACGCTGGGAGACTGTGGGGTCAGGGCTGGAATTCAGTTGATCCTAGGGAAGGATCCCTGTCCTAGGGCAGTGCCAGCAGATCCATAAGGAAGGAAACTGGTGCAAGATTGTGCTGAGCTGTGGGGTAGGGCTCAGCTGATCCCACAGAGCTCCCCTTTGGCACAGGCTGCTCAGTGCCTTCCTGCCACAGGTGTTGAGCCCTTAGCCACATCCAGCTTAGGGCTGCCCCACCTGCCAGCAGCCTGTGCTTCCCAAACTCTGGCATCAGAGACCAGGACTAGTGGGAGGTTCCCAGAACAGAGTTTGAGCAGACCTTAATGAGACCACACTTATGGGGACAGGAACACTCCCACCTCAGACCCGGCCACCCAGCAGGCAGTACCACCTGTAGGAGCCAAAGCTAGGTTCCCACATGGGGTAGAGGTCTCAGAGTCCCAGAGGGGTGGCAGTGGGTAAGGCAGCCCTGGGTGGGGCAGGGGTTTCAGGATGGGATCCTGGAGGCAGCCCTGAGAAGGATGGAACTGGAGTGGACAGTGTCATCTGGCCCAGGCTTAGCTGGGGGAGACACAAGGGTGAGGCTGGAGCCCTGTTGGCCTCCTTGCTCTTGTGGCCATCTTTGCTGGATTAGCACTCTTCTGTGCATGGTGCACATTGCACAGGGAGGCCTTCACCCCACTGCCTCCTGTGTAGTCCAGTGCTGGCATGGGTGAGGGCACAGCTGCCCACACCTGCACCTGCCCCTGCACAGGCATGTCGGGACCCAGGCCCGTGGTACTGAGTGGGCCATCCGGGGCTGGGAAGAGCACCCTGCTGAAGAGGTTGCTCCAGGAGCACGGCAGCATCTTTGGCTTCAGTGTGTCCCGTGAGTACTTTGGGGACATGAAGATATGGGCTTCAGAGGTTAGGGGTGTTGTCCCAGCATGCAGCCACTCTGGAGGCCCCAGAGGCACACACAGCCTGGGGGTGCTCTGCTTATGCCCCTTTCCTGGGGTCTGAGTCTGCAGCAAGCCTCCTGGTCTCCATGGCCCCCAGAGGGCAGGGCTGGGCTGCCACAGCCTCCTGCCTATGTGGTGCAGGCCTCAGGTCTGGTGCACAGCCCTGTGGCGGGCCCCTGGGCGGAGCACACCTGCCAGAGAAGACTTGTGGAGCTGGTGGGCCCCAGGGTCTCTCTCAGTGGGTGGTGGGTCTTTTTTGTAGATACCACAAGGGACCCGCGGCCTGGTGAGGAGAACGGCAGAGGTGAGTTGGCTTGGGTAGTCCATGGGCCCTGGCTGCAGCTGGCATGGTGTTGGGAGGTCTCCTCATCCCCTGCCTCTTGGCTGCAGTGCACACAGTGGTCTCCCACCTGTGAGAGGGTCCCTGCCTTCAGGGGTGGTGGGTGTGATTAGGTCCTGTGCCTCTTGTCAGCCTGGGGGAAGCTACAGAAGTAGTGTCCTGGGCACCTGACCCAGGCTGCCCTGAGCTTGGCCCTGCTGTTGTGTGGTGTGCTGGAGTGTGCTCCTTCAGCATCTCCCAGACGCTACATGCTGATGTGTCGCCCAGGGGTCCCCACCTCCTCTGTGGAACTTGGCAGTCTCCTGTCCCCACAGAGGGGACAGTGCAAGCAGTGGCACATGACACATGGACAGAGCAACCTGGACGCGGGATGGAAGGAGGGCTGTCAGTGCTCCGAGGAGATGGGGATGCTGGTTGGGCCGCATGGTGGGCACCTCTAGACAGCCTTCCTCCTCTCCAGATTACTACTTTGTGACCAGGGAGGTGATGCAGCATGACATCGCTGCTGGGGACTTCATTGAACATGCTGAGTTCTCAGGAAACCTGTATGGGACAAGGTGGGCTGTGCATGGGGTAGGCCCAAAACCCCTGGGGTCGTGGGTCAGGGTCCCCATGTCATGGCAGCAGTGGGCTCTCCAGTATTCCCCTCCGACACCTTCCACCCAGTCTGCCTGCTGCAGAGTGCCCTTCCCCAGCTCGCATGGAGCCCTTGAGCCATCTAGTGGGTAAGGGAGCACATGAGGAGGCACAGAAACAGGCTGTCTAGAAGCCCGGGGTCAGGCAGTGCCCACCAAGAGGAACCCCATGTGGCTGCAGGACAAGTGATTATGCTGGCAGGGGCCTGGTAGGGGTGTGCTTGGGGTGCTCTGGAAAGTGCAGGGGGTGCTGGGGACAGGTGAGGCCCTGCAGCTGCCCAGGGGAGGCTGGGAGGGAGGGGCCAAGTTCCTCTGAAAATCTTGGAGGCCTGGGGCCTGGTAGAGCAGAGCAGTGCCACTGAGCTTCTGGCTACGTCCATCTCTGACCCTAGCAAGGCGGCCGTGCGGGCCGTGCAGGCCATGAACCGCATCTGCGTGCTGGACGTGGATCTGCAGGGTGTACGCAACATCAAGAAGACAGACCTTCACCCCATCTACATCTCTGTGCAGCCTCCTTCACTGGATGTGCTGGTGGGTGCCTGGGGCAGGGCTGGGCGGGTACCCAGGAGGCTCTGACCCCACGTGGGCCTGCTTTCTAGGAGCAGCGGCTGCGCCAGCGTAACACAGAGACAGAGGAGAGCCTGGCGAAGCGGCTGGCTGCCGCTCGGGCAGACATGGACAGCAGTGAGTGCAGCTGGGGTCCCCTAAAGGTTCACACCCCCATCTGCACTTGGATCCTCTTCCCTCTGGTTTGTGCTCAGTTTGCTGCAGGCGGGGGTTGCTTGGCCCTTCTGCTGTCTCTGCAAGGGCGTGGGACAACCACATCACCTGCACTGCTAGCCCTGACCAGTGTCTTGAGCTTGGATTCAAGAGCTTGACAGGACTGAGCCCCTGCTGGGGTTCTGCAGAGAGGAGAGTGTGGCTTGGCACCTGGCCCTCAGGGTCTGTCCCTCCCATAGCCTGGACATGCAGGGGCTGCCTCACAGAATAGCAGCAAGGGAACACAGCTAGGTGATGAGTTTGGTGCTGCCTGTCCCTGACCCCATCTCGTCCCCAGGCAAGGAGCCAGGCCTGTTCGACCTGGTGATCATCAATGATAACCTGGATGAAGCCTACGCAGCACTGAAGCAGGCACTGTCTGAGGTGGGCCTCCCTTCTTGGTCCTGGGCAGCCCCTGCTCAGGCTGCGTCCTGTGTGGACTCTGGAGAGGCCTGGTGTACCCACACTGGCACAAGACCGGGTGTCAGCAGATGGGAGGCCCAGTCCTCCCCAATCCCAGCCTTCCCTGACCTTTTTCTCTTCCTCCTGGGCAGGAAATCAAGAAAGCTCAGGGGACAAGCCATTCCTGAGGACCAGCTGTCCAACCCACAGGCGCTTCCCATGCCCTGCATCTGTCTGGGCTGCTGAGGATCCACACAGCACCCAGGATGGCTTCCCAACGTGGGGTGGGCACAATTGCTCCTTGCTGGCCACATGGCAGCTCTGCACCTCAGCTGGTGTTTGGCATGTGGGGGTGGGATTGCTGCCCACCTCCCTCCCTCACTGTGGCTAGAGGATTGAGGTGCCCCCCATCTGCCTTCCCTGAGCTGTCTCTGTCCCTTCCCATGTCCCTCCCGCTGGAGCGGGACTGACATCCTAATAAAGTGACTGTTGGGTTAGAGTGTTGCCACCCTGAGGTGGGGACTTGATATCCTGAGTAAGGCCACAGCTACACTCCTCCACACGGGACCCCTGGTCTCCTCCACTCCTACCCAGTGAGCCCTAAGGATAGTGTCTGCTGGCACCTACTCCATTACCTGACCCAGTGTCCACCAGTCATGGAGATGTCATCCAGGGCTGTTCCTAAGCATGTCCCCTTGGGGAGCCCAGGCCCAGCTCTGGGAGTCCACTGCTGCCTATTCTCCTAGTTGCTCCTGGGCCAACTGGGGGCATCAGACAATCCAGGTAGGGAACAGGGAGCTGAGGCTGTGGGATCAGGCTGGTGTGGGAGCAGATGCCCAGAGCCTCCATAGAGGTTCCAGATCCCTGAGGTGTGGAGGCCAGGATGATTTGGGGGCTCCCAAGGGAGATGCCTCCTCAGAGGTAGCTGTCCATCTTGCCCTGGCCCCCAGTGGTGTGCCTCAGGAACCCTGGCTGTGCTGGGCCTCTCTTGTATGGTTGGCCCAGGAAAGTGGCCCCAGCAGAGGGGCACCACATTTGCTGGGGGTCAGCCCCAGCCCTGCCTATGAATGTCCAGGTGAAGCCACTCAGGGCAAGACCCAGACATATGGGTGGATGAGGATTTGGAAGAGGGAAGCAGGCAGGAAGCCCAGGCGGAAATAGCTAGGGAGACCAGGCGTCTTGGGCCCTGTCCAAAAGGCCAGATGTGTTTCAAGGAAGGCAGGCCAGAACCAGGCCTGGACCTTAGGTGCAGTGTCGGGGACTGCTGTGGGCCTGGGCAGGCCTTTCCAGCAACCAGTTACCCCACCCCCAGGGACAATCAGGGATTCAGACCCTGAGGCCTGCAGGGGGAACAATGGAGCCCTTGAAGGCCCCCCCCCTTCACCCCCCATTGTGCTTGGTGGCGAGAGGTGGCCCTGGCCCAGCCACACACCCTCGGGAAGGACCAGCATCGTCCGGCAGGTGGAAGGGCTCAGTGAGACTTGTGTATTTCCCAGCCTGGAGAAGGTAGGGCTCTGCCTGGGAACCCCACCCACCTCCCCAGACTCATCCAGAGCAGGAACTAGCGGTGAACCCCTCAGCCAGCTGAGGTAGGGTGGCTTCTCCCCTGCTGCACCCCACTCCTGGCTTAGCTTCAGGACCTGTGGGGACGTAGGGGGGTTACGGAAGGACCCATCCTGGGGAGCATGCAACTGCTTGGATTGTGCACTGAGGGGCCCCTCTAGGTGTCTGTTCATCTTTGCCCAGCTGTGAGCAGGGTCCACTTAGGGGCTTCTGGGTAGTAGGTGGGGGAGATGGGGCCTCAGGCTGCACAGGGCCTGCCTGGTGAGCAAGGCGTGCATTTGGCATCTCCCCCAGCAGCTGGGGCCCCTTGGCTGCAGCTGATGAGCCCCCAGCCAGTTGCAGTGTGTTCAGAGGCTGGGCCTGGGTAATACTTGGCTTGACTGAGAAAGCCAGAGGCAAGGGGTCCCACCCAGAGGGTCTGCTCCACTGCCAGGAGGCACTCAGCCCCTAATCACTCAGGACCCCAGGCAGGCTGGCTATCCTTTGAGCAAGCCCCTCTCACCTGCTGGGCCCAGGGCCTCAGCGGGTAGCAGAACAGACCTATGGCCAAGGAACAGGTCATGCAAGGATAGCAAACCTTGTGCTGAGTAGGGTGCGTGGGGTTCTGGAGGTGGCTGGAGCAGGCCTGTTAGGAAGGCATTAGGGCAAGGATGGGTGGTTGATGTTAGGGTCCCAAGGAGGAATACTAAGGCCTGGGGGAAGAAGGACTTGTCCAGAACAGCCCTGCTTACTGTTGCACCAGGGCCACCAAAGCTTCTGCACAGGAGGTCCTCATGAGCCCAGGCCTCTGCTGTGGGAGGGCATGAGGGATGTGGGTCCAGGGACAATGTGCAGGGGGTGCATGTGGACCCCTGTGGGAGTGGGCAGCACAGCACCCTCCCTGGGACATGGCAGAGACAGCAGTGATCACTGCGAAGGTGCAACTTCTCTGTCCTGCCACCCTTTTTCATAGTCCTGCCTGCGGTAGTTGTGGGAGGTCTCCCTGGTGGCTCTGGAGGAGACTGTCACCCCATCCTTCTGTCTCCCCCACCCACACTCAGGCCAGCAGCCCCACTTCTGGAGGACCAGCCATTCAGTTCCAGGTTGTACTGCAGCAGCAGCTATCTCAATGGCAGGGCAGTGATTTTCCCTCATCCCACCTGGTCTCTCCATCTCTGAGGAAGGGGTGGCCCCTCACCTCCTGGGTCCTGGTCCAGGGGTCTCTGTGCCTCCCTGAGCACCCAGGGAGGGGGCTCGACTGCGGGTGGGGAAGGGTGGAGGTGGGGCCCCTCGGGCACAGGCTGCAAGCTGTCCTACTCAGGAGAGCAGGTGGGGTAGCAGACATGGTCACTACAGGGTACCCAGGGTGAGGAGCCCCCAGCCTGGAGTGCCAGGTCCCAGGCCAGTAGGCCCACAAGATGGCAGCAGTTACCTCAGCCCACTCCTGCATCTCCAGGCAGCTGGGGTCTGGCTGAATTTCTAGGCTACCTCCCAAGAAGCTCAAGTGTCCACTGACATGCTGGATTGCCCCCCAGGCCTGGGGGGCTTCCCCAGGGAGGTACTGGCTGGTGTGGAATTGAGAGCCCTTGGTTGCATGAGGATTCAAGTGGGTGTGAACCTAAGCACGGGCTGCACATCCCTCGGCACACCTGTGTGGTCAAGAGGGGAGGCTGGAGAAGTGGGAAGCAGGCTGGGACGAGGAGGCAGGAGAGAAAGGCCAAAGGTGGCCTGCCTGTGCACACAGGGGCAGCAGGCTCACTGCCATGGGCTGCCAAGGTCACCAGGGCCTGAGGATTGGGTCCTGGTGGTTAAGGGTGCACATCCCCTCTGGGCCAACACACCAGGAGATGCATGGTCCAAGCTCAGGTGGGTGTGCCAGGGCCCAGCCTATAGGGTGGGTGCCGAGGCTGCTGTGGGTGAGTGTTACAGCCACCTCTGAGGACCCTGGGAGGGGACAATCAGGACTGGGGCATCAGGCATGAGGGGTGCTGATGTGTGGACAAGGGACAGTCTCCTACCCAGCCCCTGCTTGGAGAGCTGAGCACTTGAGGGTGCCCCTCCAGCAGCCACCAGAGCAGGGGAAGCCTGGTCCTAGCCGCCGGACTCTGAGAGGGGTGGACGCATGAGGATGCCTGAGGGTGTTTCCCAGGACCTAGATCAGAGCCAGTGATCAGGGCTCAGGGGGAAAGCCCATCCCACTGCTGGTAGGTCTGGGGCTACTGGTCTCCCACTGTGCCAGGACTGGGCATGCTGACCAGGCCCTGACATTGGAGATTGCTGACAGGCAGCCTTTCCTACTTGCCCTGAAAGAGACCCCCACAGAGGCAGCCCCCACTGCCTGTACCCCCTCCACCAGCTCCATGCCTCCCCTATCACTGGGAGCCTCCCCCCTGATGGCCTCAGAGTGCCCAGGGCTAGGAAACATCCAGGGCTGCTGGGCACAGGCAAGCCCTGTAGTGAGCCCCAGCCCCCACACCCCTGTGAGCCCTGATTTGCGCTCCCAACCCCACTGTTAGACCCCTGTCTTCTCTGTGAGCCTTCTGTGAGTCCCTGCTCCTGCCCTGAACCCACATCCTTCCTCCAAACTCCAGAGCCTGCACCTCCTGCTCTTCCCTGGCCTCTGACTGACTGCTCCAGGGCCAGCTGGGGTCACCCCTCCCTCGCACCACCATGCTCTTCACTGCCTGCCTGGGGCCTGACACCAGGGTGCCCCTTGGAGGACCCAGACCCTCCAGTGGACCCCCTCCCAGATCCCACTGTAGGCCTAGTGTTGGGGAAGGGTTCCCCTGCTCCAAGGCCCTGCACTGGCTGGCCCCTCTGTGGTGCCTCCTTTACCGTAAACACGTGTGGACTCCCAGGAAAGCTGGGAAGTTCATGCAAGTTCTGTGAAGGTCACAAAGTTCCCATGCCCCCCCTCCTCCCTGGGATGCTGGACGAATTCGCCCAGGCATTCTGTAGTACGTCTCATGGGGAGGACTCCAGCTCTCTGCTTTGCAGGGCTGTGAGTTTGGGGAGGAAGAGTCCATCTCACAAATGGTACCCACAGAGTGCTCGGCCACGGCACTGTCCTGGGTCATGGCAGAGATAGCAGTGATCACTGTGAAGGTGGGACTCCTCTGTCCTGCCTCCCAGTGGTGGGAGGTGGGTCTGGTGGCAGGTGCATCTCCTGGCAGGATCTGTCTGCTCTCCTCAGCTTGGCTCCACTGAAGCCCTCAGGGGTCTAAGCCCAGTCTAAGTCCAAGCAGCCTTAGGTACCAGGAGCGCTTTCAGCTGACTTGGTTTCCCTCCAACAGGCCCCACTGTGTGTCCTGCTTCTGTGCACCCGCCTCGTGTTTAGGCTCCTCCTCTCCAAAGCCACCCTGTGTCCCTGTCCTGGCTCTGGCATCAGCGCTTCTTTCCTTTCAGGGGCTTGGAGTTAGAGACCACAGCCTGGGGCCAGGCGCGTCCCCAGATCCTCAGGCGTTTTTGCAGTCTGGCCCTTTCAGGTGACAGCAAAGACAAGTGTGTGCACAAACCCATGGTTTTCTGCATTTTGTCTGTGAACTTCCTCTGTGAAGCTGTCCACCTCTCTGGCAGACTGGATAGGAGCTCCATGGGTCTGGCTGCCATCATTATCCACAGAGCATTCACCTGCTACACAGACAGATGACGCGTGGAGAGGGGATGGGGAAGGGCAGGCGCATGTGTGTGCGTGTGCACAGGCATGTTGGTGTGTAGGAGCACCTGTGTGTGCAGTACTATGCACTGTACCTCTGTGTGGAAGGAGGCAGCTGTGGCCTAGCAGCAGTTGGCTCTGGCCAGCAGAAGGGGCAGCAGGACCCAGGCCAGAGGTAGGGGACAGGTTGCCTGGCGCAGGGGCCTGGTGAGACCCTCATATTTACCCTACCAGGAGTCACCTGGTAACTCTCGTGGGTCCAGCTGCCTCCCTAACTACCCAGACACCAACAGGCACCCTCAATTCCAGACTCAGATGCCAATCTCCCCTCCAAAATGGCCTCCCTGTCCCTGGTCCTTATCCTCCAGGGCTTTCTCCTCATATCCCCACTAGGTCCATAAGCAAACTCTGCCTGGCCAGACTCCCCTCTGTATGGCCAGGCCGTGGCATTACTGCCTGGTGGGGTCTCAGCTGCTTCACCTCTCCCTCCTGTGGCCTGGAATTCCCACCCAACAGGCCACCCCTGCTGCCCTTCGGTGACTCCTGGTAGGGTAAATATGAGGGTCTCACCAGGCCCCAGAGCCCCTCTGAGCACATAGATGTGGCTGTCTCTGTCACTGCCCAAGGTGGCTGTGCATCATTGTGTTTTCAGCTTCACCAGACATTGTCCCACCTGGATAGATGCTGGCTTCCTTGGTTCCCCTAGCTGGGAACAGTCTAGAGGGAAGGAGCTGGGGTTGCATGGGGAGCCCCAGTGGTCCTGTGCTGGGAGAGGCAGCTGGCAGGCTAGGTGCAGCAGAACCAGCAGGGGCTTGGAGAGGATGGGGTCCTTTATCAAGGCAGAGGATCTCTAGAGCTGCTGTGCAGGGTGTGGAGGGAGAAGGGCAGGGCTGCTGGGACTCAGGGCTGTGGGGGTTGATGGGGCTACTAGGGCTGGGGGCTACAGAGGCTGGGAAGTTGGAGAAGTAGTGGGGGCTTGGGTGGCTGGGCAAGCTGGGGACTAGGTCCTGGGAGAGACCCTCAGATACTGGGGCATAACTCTGTGGGAGCAGGAGGGAGTGGGGCAAGGTGGTGCAGCAGGATCTGACCACAGAGCTCCCCTGAGGAGTTCTGGGGGGAGAGAGGGTTGGGCAGGTGCTCAGCAAGAGATGCAGCTCTGCCAAGGAAGGTTCTCCCTAAGTCCCACGGACAGGGTCTTAGGCCTGGGTGGGGAATGCCTTTCCCACCCAGGGAAGGCAAGATGGTGAGCTTGGGTCACCAGCTATAGGTAAGCTGAGCGACTGCAGCCCTCTCGACTGAACCCTGAGTGCCGGGTTTCCAGATGCCCCCATCTGGCCGTCGTTGACTGCTGCCCACGCCCACAGGTCCTGCCTGCCAGCGCCCATGACCAACATGAGCTGGAGCTTCCTGACGCGGCTGCTGGAGGAGATCCACAACCACTCCACCTTCGTGGGCAAGGTGTGGCTCACCGTGCTGGTGGTCTTCCGCATCGTGTTGACTGCTGTGGGTGGCGAGTCTATCTATTCCGATGAGCAGTCTAAGTTTACTTGCAACACGCGGCAGCCGGGCTGCGACAACGTCTGCTATGACGCCTTCGCACCCCTGTCACATGTGCGCTTCTGGGTCTTTCAGATCGTGGTCATCTCAACGCCCTCCGTCATATACCTGGGCTACGCCGTCCACCGCCTGGCCCGTGCCTCGGAGCAGGAGCGGAGGCGTGCGCTCCGCCGCCGCCCAGGTCCCCGACGCGCTCTCAGGGCGCACCTGCCACCGCCTGGATGGCCGGAGCCCACTGACCTGGGCGAGGCGGAACCCATGCTTGGGCTGGAGGAGGAAGAAGAGGAAGAGCCAGGAGTGCCCGAGGGGCCGGGAGAGGACACGGAGGAGGAGCGCGCAGATGAGATGGCAACCAAGGGGCCTGGGGTAGATGGCAAGGCGGCTGGGGGCCCGGGTCCAGCCGGGCAACACGATGGACGGCGACGCATCCAGCGGGAGGGACTGATGCGCGTGTACGTGGCCCAACTGGTGGTCAGGGCTGCCTTTGAGGTGGCTTTCTTGGTGGGCCAGTACCTACTGTACGGCTTCGAGGTGCGGCCCTTCTTCGCCTGCAGCCGCCAGCCCTGCCCACACGTGGTGGATTGCTTCGTGTCGCGGCCCACTGAGAAGACCGTCTTCCTGCTGGTCATGTACGTGGTCAGCTGCCTGTGTTTGTTGCTCAACCTCTGCGAGATGGCTCACCTGGGCCTGGGTAGCGCGCAGGACGCCGTACGTGGCCGCCGGGGTCCACCAGCGCAGGCGCCTGGTCCCGGGCCTCGCCCACCACCTTGTGCCTTCCCGGCCCCGGCCACCGGCCTGGCCTGCCCGCCCGACTACAGCCTGGTGGTGCGTGCTGCTGAGCGTGCACGCGCGCATGACCAGAATTTGGCTAATCTGGCCTTGCAGGCGCTGCGAGATGGGGCGGCAGCAGGCGGAGACCGGGATAGCCCGCCCTGCCCCGGGCTCTCCGCGGCCAACCGGGGGCCACCCAGACCCGGCGCACCGGCTTCTGGAACCGGCAGCGCCACGTCTGGGGGCACCGCGGGAGAGCAGGGCCGACCTGGGGCCCATGAGCGGCCAGGCACCAAAACCAGGGCTGGCTCTGAGAAGGGAAGTACTGGCAGCAGGGACGGAAAGGCCACTGTGTGGATCTGAGGATACTGGCGGGGATTGCTGAGGGAGGGCTGATGTGGGGGGCTCTGGAGGAAAGTTGATCTCAATTCGTTCAGACAGCGGCACCCAAGGCAGCTCTGGCTGCTTCTCCTGCCTGGGGAGGGACGTTGTAGGGAGGAGAAGGGGCTGAAGGCCAACAGGAGGCAGGGTCTGGGCACCTCTGAGGCTGAAAGACGGGGAGGAGGAAGCCTGTGTGCCCCCAAGGGTGGGCTAAGCAGGGGCCCAGGAATGACTGGCCATGCCCCTGCTGAGCTGTTGGGCCCTCAGAGATGACCACTGCCTGCCTCCCATTCCTTCCCTCTGAGCTCCCTTGCAGCAACCCACTGACCACCTGAGTCCCTGGAACAGACATTTTGGGGACTGCACAGTTTCCATTCGCTGCCACAATATGTGGTTCCTTTGCCACACCTTCAGCCTGGAGCCCTGGTTCCAGCAATCCCAGGACAGGCAGAGGGTCCTGGGCTCAGCCCCAACCTGCACCAGTTCGTGGTTCTCCCGGGGTGACACTCTGCAGAGGACCTTGGATGGACAGGACCACCCCTTCTCTGAGCCTCTGGCAAAAAGTATCAGCTAAGGTTTGCTGCCTAGACTGACAAAGCAGTAGTTGGGGACCTGTGGCTGGGTTATGCTAGAGGAAGGGGTCTTGGGAAGCCTGCCCATGGCCTCTCTGCCTGCCTTCCTAATTCAGAGCCAGCTTCTGGAACTAAGGGAGCAAAATAAAACTAACTTTTGTTTACAACAGGGTGTGTGCACTTGTGTAAATCTGAGCAAGAGTGAGTTTGTGTTAATATGCACACTGGTAACTGCATGCACTGTGGCTATGTATGTGACTGCATACATGTAAGCAGGCACATGTGTGCCCAAGTGTCCACTACCAGCCACAGGGGGCACCTAGCTCAGCACCAGCCTGGCTGGGAGACCTCTCCCCAGGGACAAGCAGGGAGCAAGGCCTGAGATGGAGCTCCTGAAGGTCATTATCAAACACAAGATGGTGCCACTGGGTGCCAGGGAGTGTGCTGGGGCCAGGAGGTGGAGGCCACCCTTGTCAGGAAACAAAGGACAGTCATGCACAAGGTTGTTCTGCCACTCAGGGACAGGGCAGTCCATCTCAGGCCATTTTGGTGCAGACCCCAGGTGACACAGCTGCCTCCCCACTTTCCTGGGCTGAAAACTCCTCTCTGGAGTCCCAAGTCTAATGGCAGGCTGACTCTGGCCAGGCGCCAAGTACATGCTAAGTCCCTTTCCTTTCTGGGGCCTAGTTGATTGAGCCCTGGCCCCAGCTAACCTTCACCTCCAGGAGCCCTGACTTTAGGCTCAGCACCAGATGGACCCTGGCTCTAGGGAACCTCTGTCCCCAGGTGAATCCTCATTCCACACTAAGCACTGCCCCACGAAGTCATGGATGGTGATTCTGGATGTGGTCTCTAAGAGGGTAGGAAAACACCACCCCAGAGCAGGTGTCTCCTCCAGCGGGGCTACCTGCCAGCATCTCCTAATGAAAGTTCCACATTAGAGGCCATCCAGATCTGGAGCTGTGCTGCTGGAGGAGCTGCTGCTAACGAAGGAAGGTCTCTGTGCTGGAACTATGGTGCCAAGCCTGGGATTGGGTATGGCTCTCATCCTCTCTCAACTGGTTAGTGCTGTTCATGTCTTCACCTGATTGGATGAGGCCCACCATTGGCTTTCCTCTACCCAAAGGCTAATCTTGTGGGGAAACACTTCTCCAGATACACTCACAATAATGATTTTTGAAATTTTGTTTTTAATTTTCGTATAATAATTGCACGTTTATGGGTTAGATGTCTTCAATGTATAAAACGTCTTTGTGTGCAGAGCCTTTGAATCCTGCCTTCTGGTTCTTTGACATATATAATAACTGTCATCAACTACAGAATGATGTTTGGCCAGGCGCTTGGGCACCCTGTGGCCCAGCCGAGGGTGTGTGAGGGAACTGTCACACAGTCCAAGCAGATGAATTCTCCAGATCTCGGGCTGGTTTTGCTCCTCTGGAGATCTCCCGCCCGTACACACCCCTTGGCTGGAGCCTGTTCAGAGGGACCCAGGTGACAGGGAAGCTGCAAAGGGAGCTTCAGCCTGCTGGGCTGCCACCACTTGCTTCTCCTCCATCCCCAGGTCCCAGGCACAGTGCGGGCAGGGCAGGCTTCCCCAGCCTCCGCCTCCCTCCCCACCCTCTCGCAGCAGCCCTGGGTCCTGTAGGATGAGGACCCACCCAATGACCTCACTGTATCTTAATACCCTCCCAGGAGGCCCACCTCAAACACAGCCTTGTTCTGAGGTCCCGGGGCTAGGACTTCAGACGCTGCCCAAGTACGATGGCGTATGTCTAGCTGGAAGCCCCATGGCATGGAGGTGGACAAAGGGGCCCCAAGGGATAACTTCTACTCCCAGAGACCTGGGGACTTAGGGGCCACTGAGCCCATCAGTTCGGTGAGCATTTCATGGGGATCACTAGGTCTTGTTGCCCCATCCTCCCATCCGGAGCACCCCCACTGTCCTTGGCCCCCGTGGATCTGCAGGTCCCACCTCCAAAGCCATGTCCTCCACATCTGGGAAGAGTGGTGACCTCCAGCCTGAGCCTGAGCCCTAGTAGGAGGGCTGCCTCTAAGGGTGCAAGAGGCAGCCCAGAGATTACTGGCCTCCTCATTCTGGGGAAGAAACCCACCCACATAGACCTGCTGCCTGACAGTCACTAGGTGCCACGCCTGTGGTACACCTGTCATCCTAGCCCCTCTGGAGGCAGAGGTAGGAGGATCACAAGTTCAAGGCCAGCTGGGACAGACCCTGTCTCAAAAGTAAAATAAGGCTGTGGGGGATAGCTTGGTGGCAGAACATCTGTCCAGCATGCGTGAGGTCCAGGTTTGATTCCCCAGTACCACAAGGCAAGACACTGAGCTACTGAAGACAAAACTCCCCGTGCCTCAGTTTCCCTGACTGCATGGGATGACAACAAGGGCACCAGGCCAAGCCTGGACACTGCCAAGGGGTTGTTGGGACACAGGCCAGGCCCTGGAGCAGGATCAGGTTGGAAAGCCTTGCCTCATCTGTTTCTACAGCCTCAGCCAACCAGCTGCTGTGAGGGGAATGTGCAGAGGGCAGGGCTGGACAGGGCCAGGTTCAAAGGCAGAATGGGGCAGCTCCTTCCTCCTTCCCCTGGGTGGGAGGAAGCCAAGAAAGAGGAAAACGGGAAACCACAGCTACCTGGGGAAATCTGGGCTGGGACACAGGTCCGCCATTTCCCAGCTCTTACACCCCTACTGAAGCCAGCCCCACAGGATGAGTCCCTGCCTCCTGGAGCCTCCCTCCCACACCTGGCCACCCAAAGGCAAAGTCCATCTTATTTTCTCTGATTGCCTATATCTCAACAGCCCAGTAGGTCTTGGCTGGCAGTCAGGGTGGGCCTGGAGGGCGCTGCAGGCCAGACCAGCTCTGAGAGGCCAGATAAGCTGCCTGTGTGCCCTTCCTGCTAGCCCTGCATGGGTGGGAAGTCAGAGATGGGCTGATGTGAGGGCTGCGGAACTTGACCGCAGCCCTGGGTGCTGCCCCCTGCCAGTGTTGTCCTGCCTGGCTTCCGTTCTCCTCACTGAGGCTGGCAGGAAGGTGCCAGGTCACCCTCCAGCCCAGGGAAGAGGAGGGGGCGGTGGGCAGGCAGTGCATTTCAGTCTGCCTGCTATCAATCAGGAAGCCTGTGGCCCAAGGGCCCCCAGGGTGGGGGAACTATTGGGGTTTCTGCCTGGGCCTCTGCCAGTCCAGGCTCTGCCTCAACAGTGGTCAGGCCCAACTGGGAGGGATCCACAGCCCCATAGGGTTTGGGCTAGACAGAGGGGCCTCGAAGACAAAGTCCAGAGACTGAGGCCTGATCACAGCCAGAGTCACAAGCTCAGGTGTCTTCTGTAGAGATGCCTTGGCAGGTAACTTGCTAATTCCTCCAGTATTAATTGAGTGCCAGTATGTGCCAGGGCTGCCCGGAACCTGGGGTACAGCAGCGAGTTCCGGTAAAGATTCTCTGTTTGGCCAAACTGCAGTCAGAACCTCATAAAATTCAGCTTTAGCTGGACATGGTGGCACATACCTGTAAAGAATAGGCATTCACGGCACACAGCCGTAATCCCAGCTACTTGGGAGTCTGAGGCAGGAGAATCTCAAGTTCAAGGTTAGCCTGGGCAACTTAATGAGATTCTGTCTCAAAATAAAAAGGGCTATGGATGTAGCTCAGTGGTAGAATGCTCTTGGGTTTCAGTTCCCAGTCCTGGGGGGAAAACTCCACTTTTAGCTAGAAGCCCCACCCTCACCATCTGTGGTTTCTCATCCCCAGGGATGTTTAGTCACTGGCCTGCCCACAGCAGAATCCTGCCACTGGGTCCAGTCGGAGCCCTCACTTGCTACTTCTCCTGGTTGTTTTTCCAGCTACCAACCAACCCACCTCCGTGGAGCCCCAACTCTCCTCTGCCTTCACCACGGCCCTTCCATACAGGCTCCCTTGCTGTCATCTGAACAGGTACTGTGAGTAGCCGCACAAAACATCCCTCCCATCTGGAGCTCAGGACCATAAACACAAAACCTTCAAAGGAGCTCTGACGTGCTGGGCCAGAGTGGACAGCTGTGGAGAAAGGAGTTGGCATGCAGGTCCCAGGGCAATCTGATGCACAGGTGCCCTGCACTGGGCCACAACTGGCCCCCTTACCCTTCCCCAAGAAGTGCCCTGGGGTGGCTGTGGCTCCTCAGCAGGTGATTCCTGCCATGACGTCCCAAGTTCAGCCATGGGTGGTCCTGGGGAGGGCCCATGAGGCGAGAGACATGACAATCATAGCCAAACCATGTGTGACACTGGCTAGAAGGAGACCAGTGGGGGCATGATGGTAGCTGAGAGGCAGGTGGTGTCTGTCATGCCACAATGTCACTCCTCAGAGGCCAGAGGTATAGGCACTTGTCATTGTCCTTGGGAGACACATGGAGATGGTGAG